AGATGCGCTGTTTGAAGATCATCGTAAATCCACTCGCCTGCAAGATCCTGGGGCATCTACAGTCATCACCGCTTCAACAGGCATCAAGTGATCCTCCTGTCGCTCCACCTGCAGGAGAAGCCAGTTGGATGCAGCATCAGGAATAAAGGGCTGCAGCCCAATAGACCCTGCTGGACTGGCCATTCTCCTCTAACTGGATGACGTAGGAACGAGGGTTGAGGTACTACAGTTCATTGTGTGTGTAGGCGCGTGATGTTATGATTACAGTTTTTCTGGCGTTGTGTATTTAGCTCTCTCTAATGTTTATGTATTTTCTTGTTTAGACTGTTCTTGATTGGAGCAGACTTGTTCTCGTGAGGAATATAGTAAAGAAATAATGTCAAGAGCAAAGCTATTCATTTTGGGTTTCGCGGAGGTAGTAGTGTATGGGTGATGTGTATAACTTGGGCAGTGGAAGACTTTACTGCGATTGCGAAAGGGAGCACCACAATCTTGCCTAGGGCGCCAAATTGGTTAGGGCCAGGCCTGGCTGAATACAGATGGGTTTTACAGGAAACTGTGCAAGTAGCTGCTGAGAGCCCATGTCCTGCCCTGTATGATTCATACACACCCACATTAAAATGACACATTGAAAATCTTCAAAATATACTGTATATACAAGAAGCATCACAAAATAATTACCTCATCATAGAAGCCCTCTTCATTACTCTGTAGCTCCACTGGCAGCAGTTACATCTTTTTAGGTTTCTACCAGCTTCCGGCTTACATCCAGTGGTGGATCAGAATCAGAAATACTGTAATAATCCCAGGGGGAAATTACTTTACTTCAGTAAAAGTACCCATACATTAATGTAAAAACACCTGCTAAAAGCCCTACATTCAAATACTTATTAAGTAAAAGTACAAAAGTATTATCAGCAAAAAGTACTTAAAGTATTGAAGTTAAAGTACTTAAAATGGCCTCTGTAGAAGGCTGCAGGATTTTACTGTTGGAGCTGCTGGAGGTGGAGCTAGTTCAGTGGCTTTATTCAGTGGTTTTCAACCTAGGGGTCAAGCCCCTCCTAAGAATCACAAGATAAATAAGAGGGGTCGTAGAACCTACTGATTTTTGGAGAATTTTTTTATTTATTTAAGTTAAATAAAATAATAAAATGCATATATGTATTTTAAAGCATGACTTTATTCATGGTTATGAGTTAACCATTCATCAAAACTGAATAATTTTTTGTTTTAAAAATATCTCTTAAAATTATATATTAATATACTCATTTGTTTTTTTATTGTATTTGATTTTGAGTAATTACAATATTTCTTTAATGTTTGGAACATAATTGGGTTCTGAACAGGATAAAGGCTATTGGTGATCACTGTTCTGAAGGAAGATTGCCTATAAGGCTAGAAAGTCATTTTCTGAATAAATGCAATGAACAGCTTACTGTTAAACATTGTGATCTTATACAAATACAATGCATGATTGTTATATAGTGGTCACTGTATCATTGAAGAGTTTTAGAGGCTGTTTCTCAACTACTGTCAGGATAAAGTTAAAGTTTCAGCAAATATGACAAAAGGTTATTTTTTATAAAATTTACCTACTGCAGCTTTCACAAAAAATGTTGACTGAGCATTGATTTACTCAAGAATGGTCAAATGTAATGATGCTAAATATGCAGATGAAGATGTGAATGAAGTGTTGTTTTTTCTAAAACGTAATACCATTTAATCCGTTGTATGCAAATCTTCAAAAGGGAAATTTTCAACTGAACGGCAAAGTTCCTGTGTGTGGCAAACAGACGTTAGTCCGAGAACAGAAATAAGAGTCCCAGTCACAAACACCTTTCGAGCATTAGCCGTTTTTACTGAAAAACTGTAACAGGGGTTGGTGAACCAGGCACCTCTGTAGCATCACGCTGCTACTGTACATACAAGACAACACCCACAGCACAGTCACCGATTATACAATGCTTCTAATCAATATATTCATCAATATATAATGTATTGTATAATCAACAGCTCTGGGTCACACCGTGGTGGGGTCAGAACGTGGATCAAAACGCTCGCTCTGCTTTCAAGCCTAAAGATGAACTGGTTCTGGTACATGGAGACTTGGTCACATTTTGGTTTTTGGCTCCATTTTATTCCCATTTAAATTAAGCTTGAACTATACGGATTTCAGAGAAGTTGAAAATTTTGATCCAGGTTGAGTTTCTCACAGCCTACTCTATGATCCACACTGAGAAAAGTTTGGGCCAGTGAGCATGAAGTGTCTCAAATCATCTCAGCTGATCAGACCAAATTAGTTTTGTGAAAAAAAAAAGTGGATTTAACAGCATGGCTTTACATCGACAATCGCATCCCTGGATTCTCATCCTCTGGGAGGCTTCATGCTCCGGACCCAGAGTTACAGTGACTACTGGAAGATGATGACTGGTGTGGATACAACAGAACTGGTGACCAGTAGGCATTTCAAAAAGATTAGAGGACACACAGTGTCCTCAGGGCGGGGGTCACCGAACACCAAATGATTTCAAAGAGCACACATTTGAATTTCACAAACTTTCACTTGAGAAAAATCCTTCAAGACGTTTGCAACACCACCAGCGACTGGGACTTCCGGGACCTGAAGAGTGGACAGTGTTGCCATGCACTCAAGCTTCAGCAACAACCCTGTTTTCCTATCTAAGCGTTCAGATCTAAGGACCAGAGCTACCAGTTGTGTTGCTTCCCCCGCAGAAACATTCTCAGATCCTTCAAAGTGTAACTTTGAACATTAGGACTTTGCATCCAATCATAGCACTCCATTCTGATCAAAATCCTGAAGTGCTTCACAACAGAGCTAAGCGTCTAATGCTCCCCTCTGAATATCTGAAAAACCAGACAAAGTTTCTCGTTTTACTTTAGAGGAGAGGAAGACATTGGGCCTCAAGCAAGAACAACTCGTATGAACAGAATGATTCCTCAGTGGCACGTACAAGTGATTTAAGAGAATTTACTCGACTGTAAGAACAAAATTCATGAGTGGTTCAGACCTGTCGTATCGATTCACCTTATGATCATCATTATGGCTGCCAATGTACTGAGTCTGTAGTTTTTAGATTTCAGGAAATATTGCCATATTTCAGCAACCTCTACAATTTGGTAGGTTTTAGGAAAATTCTCCAACTCTGACAGCTTTACTGCTGATTAACAGGTTACGGAACAGAAGAGTCATTCATGGATACATTTCCCATGGTACCAAAACAGTACTGATCATCAATACCCAGCTCTTCCCTCTTCCAATGGACTTCATTTGATTGAGTTTTAGAAAAAGGGGGTTCACCTGTCTGTCAGTCTTAAACGTCTTCACATAAAAGCAGTGTAGTGTTCATGTGCAATGTGAGTGTGGAGGAATATAGACAAAGAAAACCAATAAGACACAATTCAAACCCTGAACCAACACGGTCTGAGCCTGGTCAGCCTGCCTGCAGCTGAAATGTTAAAATGCAGAGTTCAGAATCACCACAAATGAAACATGATAAACACCGTTAGGCCTGGCTGTGGTATTGAAGGAGCACAAAGTTTTGGGGAGATCATCCTGTTTGGCGTTCTGCTGACTCAACAAAACAAAAAATAAAAAATAACTTCCTTTGCTAAGCTACTAAAGCAGATCTCTGGTGTATTCATGTAAGAAACAGATACATTCATGGAGTGAGGTTTCAAATGGTACATTCAGAAAATAATGCAAAAAGAAGAAGTGACAGGTGACAGGAAGTCAGGAAGCTTCAGTGCTGCTTGTGAATTTGCAGGTTAAGGTGCAAATGTGCTCACAATGTCCTGAGTCCAAATCTTACCACATCTCACCTCCCACTCTCCTGTCACTACGCTGCTTTTAAACACAGGAATGGCTTCATAAGGAAGTACCTCAACATAGAAACCTGAGGAATTTCAAAATATAAAAGTCCTGAACAAACTTTAAAATCAGAAAACTAAACTGTTCTCTTTGGATGGAATGATTGTGTCTGCTGCATGGACATTTTATAAGACAGAAAGCAGTGAAGGCAACGCCCTCATGGAAATTAAGAGATATTTATCATTTAAATATATACACATAAAAGAGAGGGCAATCCTCTTTTTAGCTATGAACAAGACGACAAACTCTGAGCCAAGTAGAAAACTCTAGGTGCTTCTTTTATGGTCAAAGTGAATTCAGAGAGCAGTGTCAGTGTTGTTTTTTTTTTTACTAACCTTAAACTTACGCACTTTTACTCATTTTTTAATACCAGCTTTTAAGAAGTAAGTTTTTTTTTTTTACTAAGCAACATCTTTGCAGTTGTATCAAGAAAGATCTTCCGAGATGGTATCAAACTAAAGGTCTAAAAAGGATCATTTTAGCTGTTTTTTTAAGATCCAGATTTTCTACCTCAGGCTTCTTTCTGTTAACAGCTTTATCCTAGATGGACACAGTAGTTGATCAGACTGATTGTTGCCTTATAACATCAACAAGCTGAATTGTGGCACCCTAAAGGCCTGGTTACAACTGAAATACCCCTGTTCCACCAACACGTTTCGGCTCGAGCACCTAATTTCGAGCCATTTGGAGCATTTCAACCAAAAATAAGTTGGTTTGGAACCTGAAAAAGTGGTTCCCAATTGGAACTAAAAAATAGCAGGTTTTTCTTGAGCTGAAGTGCAAACCGTGACACCAGTTGGTGTGTCATATTCTAAAGGTTGGAAAGAGAGGACTGTGAAGGCAACAATGGAGACTGTTACATAGAAGAATATTACATCTTGCATGCAACAGTCTTCTCTGTCAAATATCAGTAATAGAACAACAGCTTGGAGGTAATTAAGCCGAAAAACAAAAGATCTTGGTTGTAGAGTCTTGGTGGCGTAATGACAGTACTAGCTGCTACTTGGACTCTGTTCCCCGTCAAAGGTCAGCACTGTCAAAAGGGTTTGCTATTGGTCAATGGCACAAATTTGTTGGTCTAGGTTCACCAAAATGGAAGTGTAAATTTGCGCAGATTTACCACAGCCCTGTTAGCTAATTTACGAATCAGGTCGATTCCATTGCAATTGGTTGAAATTGCAGCAAACTTTCACTGTTTTAAATGCTGGTGTGCCCAGGTCTTAAAGCTGCTGGTTTGAACTAGGGTTACCCATGATGTTTGGGGTGTGGAGGGAGAACAAAAGACGCTAAGCTTTATGCAACTATGGGGTATACAGAATGTTTTCAGGAATGATAGATAGAGATTATTAAGATAAAAATATGCCATAAATAAAAAAAGATTGTAAAAAAAAAGGGTGAAAAACAAAACTCACTGACTGCTGTGTTTGAATCTTATAGACATTTGCAACCAGCATCTAGCTTTTCCAACATAACCACCAGGAAATGTGAATATTCCTACTGTCAAACAGGTGAAAATGCAAGCAGTGGAAGATGTGCTGCCTCAACCCACCAGCATCCTGTCAGAAGCTCTACATATATACATAGTTCCTCACAGCTCGCACTGGACATCAGTGTTATCACTGAGCAACAAGTTTGCTTTGCCCATCTGCCCTCCATTAAAAAGTAGTAAGACCTTTAGAAATAACAAATATTGCTTCTAATGTACTATTGCATGCGACATTATATATTCTTTCCACTCTGCTTTGCCTGACATTTGACTAGTGGACTTTCTCAAGTTGGAAGCCCAAATGAAACTGAATCCAACAAATAGTTGATAGCTTCAGGAATAACCAGTAAAACAAGATGATGAAAACTAAAACTGCTATGTATCTTCATTAAGTCTGAGGACAAATAAAAAAACAAAAACAAAAAACGTTTGGCATTAAAGTGCACATAATCCTTAAGTGACTTATTGCTCACTAATAACTGACTTCTATCAGGGTTTCCTGAAGGATTTCAGAAGTCAGTCACTCCAAATTGCATCCACAAGCTACTAACAAGCTCTTTATGATGAAAGCAGAATTGTTTGTATTAAATTGTTTAAAAAGCAATGTAGAAGAAAATAAAACCTAAACAGAACCTCCTCAACTAAACAACCAACGTACGTCAACCACTTTGGGAATGTGAAAAAAGTAACAATTAATATCTTTGCTCTATAGAAACATTTAGAAAAACATTTTCTCCAGTGTAACCACAACTACCTGTCTTCACTAAACAACAGAAGATGGTTTTATTTTGTAGCTCTTTTACTAATTGAGACTTTGTCAGACTATGGAAAAAAACCCACAGCCAGGCCCCTTTAACTGCTGTTAAAATTACTGTAAATTCTCATAAAATCATATAATGGCAGAGGCATGGTCACCATAAACACATAAAAGTTTCAGTTGTTCCTGACCAACATAAGGCTGCGGTCAATGAAAAGAAACACTTCTGACAGTTGGGAAGTCGTTGCATTGATGGAATTAGTGCTGTAGACATCAAGACAAAAAGGTGAAAGTGGAGGAAGTTTAAGGTTTGCATTGAAGGTCCAGTGTGTAGGATCGAGCACTAAAGATGCAGATGGCAACTAACTGAATACCATTCAGCTAACAAGTGTGTAGTAGACGCTACGGTTAACTGGGAGTCAGGGGAAATCAGGAATAAGACTTTCTCTAATATAAGCCCGTTCTAAAGATCTGCTTCTCTCTGCCATTGAGGTAATAACGGCCCACGCCTCGATTTGAAAATTTACGGTAGACTCTCAAAATGTGTTGAATTACATACTGAACGTAAAAATATATTAAAATGACTGTCTTGAAACAAACAGGTTATTTCTTTAAACCAACCTTTTCCATTAAAATGTTAAAACCAAACCAGTGTGTTTATAGAACCTGAGTTACACCAGCATGTATTTAATGAGTGTACACACAGCCAATCAGATTCACTCCCACAGAGATCATTCAACACCAAACCAGCTGGAAGGGCCACTTCATTCAGGTTTAAGTTGAACTACACCATCCTTTGGATTGTGACAGTTTGGACCGGTGTGTGACAGACAGGTGACCTCCCCCCTTTTCATCATCGTCACATTTCAATGAACCAGTTTAAAAGACAAGTATGGCTGTTTCATAATCCAAACGTTCTCAATCAGTCTTTTTCCAATATTTAAGGGGAGAAATAAAAAACTCCATGGGACTTATCTTAAAGTTTCCAAAACTGATTGCCTAAATGGGTTGAGCGGTTGTATTTAGACATGTCTCCCACTCATAGATACATAAATAAGCTGACATACATTCAGCAAAATAATTTCCAGATGGAGGAGATTTCCACATGGGATGACTGGGAGATCCCACAGGATGATTAAGATGGTCTTCATCTTTTCCCGGAAACAAAGTAAAATTTCCTTCTCAGCTCCATTGCTGAACAGTCATTCCAGCTGCTGTTCCATACAGTCTGAACTCAGCACGTTTTTTTGTTTTTTTTGTAAGGAGTATTTGATATTTTCAGAATATTTTCACACCACCTCCTGCTTTGGTCCATCTCATATTTACAACCACGGTTACAAATAATTGCTTGTCTATGTATGTTTGTTTTCTTCCCAGGGTTTCCAAAAAAAAAAAAAAAAAAAGAATGGTTCCGCATCAATTAACAATAAAACATATCAAATAATTGTTTGTGTGTGTGCGAGCACACAAAATGGGCATTCCACCCCAGTTCACTCTTCCTACAAAGTGCGTGTCTGTGTGTGTGTGTTTCTAAAGCGTGTAAGGTGCAGGTAGGCAGCTCTGTGATGATTTGAAGGGGCAAGCTGAAGAGCGGGGGAGTTAAGCCGATGACTGATTGCCGTTACCAAATGTTCATCAGCATAGTCTGTATGCCGGTGTAAAACGGCAAGGGTCAGAGAGAAGGTCACAAGGCCTTTAAATGTCGCCAAAAAGGAAGAGGACACATTTCAACCCTTCTCATTTTCTTATTAGACAGAAGGGGCTTTAGGTTCATTCTGAGGTCCAAATTACAGGTTGACTGGAGATCTGTTGGTGCATCATTTATTCAAGGCCTTTGTCAAAGCATTACTTGGATGCTGGGAGTGTAGGTGGAGACTAATAGCTAAAGGCAGGGAGAAAACCTTTTGGTCCTCATCAGCAGTAGGCTTTAAGTTGTCGGCCTCTCCCTTTTTCAGGAGCTGTGTGGCACCGAGAGGGAGCAGGACACTTCCTGTCAGGGTGATCGGCTTGCGTTTCCGTTTAGCTGCGTTGTTCATGCTAGGCTGAGGCTTTGAGGAGAGCCCAAGCAATGGCTGAAGAGTGGGTGTAGTTAGAGAGTCCACCTGTGGGTGGCTGACAATGGCAGGGAGGTTTTTCACCCAATGCTTAGGTAAGGTAGAGTTTCAGTGATTAGCCCACCCCATTTATTATTGAAGGTAGGAGTAGGAGTTTGCTGGCCGTGCTGCTGGGTTGTTTGTTCAAGAGGTGAAAGTTCCTCCTTAGTTCTGAACCCGAGCAGAGGCTCATGCATTGGAGAAAAGATTACGTAGGCAAGAGAGTTTAAAACTAGTCCTTGGTTGAGTTTTCAACGCCCAACTCGCTGGGTAATTCCTCAGTTAGGAGGTGGAGTTTCCTCCTTTGAATAAATTCTGGACCCAGGCGAGGGGCGTGGCCTGATGTCAGGAGTCATCATCGGTGTCCTCTATCAAAACCTTGGTGTCACGGGTCTTGGACCTAAAGTGGGGAAAAGGAAGACAGGGTTGTAAGTTAATTAGTTTTCGTTAGTTAGTAACTTAGTTTTGTGCATCTTTACCAACAGTGGGTATACCTGCATTAAGATGTTCTATAGTGTTGATATTATTATTATTATTAGTGTGGTAAAAAAAAATCCATGTCAAGTTAAGGCTGATTTTACAGTTTCTGCACTCGTTAGCTTGCATCTGCGATCCTTCACCAAAGCACATTTACAGCCATTTATAATAGTTTCTGTATGGTCCTTGTGTTGTAAAGTTAGCTTAGCTGGCAGCTCAGACAGACTAACTCTCTGGTGTCAGGCTACAGCTATGTAGCAGGCCACAGTCTGCAGAGTGGACATGTTGGTTTTATAGAAGCAGTGGTAGGTTGGTGAAAAAAGCTCATCACACACATCAACTGCCTTCAGATCAGCAAGTAGCAAAATTCTATTGCAATAGCATTTTTGCAGTAGAATTCAAATACTTTGCACTAAAATGTCTAGATTTGGAAACTAGTCAATACCCATATAAATAGGTTTTCAGCAGAAAAAAAGTGTTATGATTTAGTTACTCTTTAAATTACTTTTATCATCTTAAATCCTTGTGGAAAACAAGGAGACATTTTTTTTTTACTGCTTCATAGTAGGGACGTATACATTTCTTCATTGGCATTAATAACTAAATAAACTAACTTATAAATGAAATATTAAATTTGGTGTTGCTCTCCCTCCGTGGAAAAAACAGCAATAATTCAATAAATCAGTCAATTTTAACAAATATTGAAATCATTATCATATATAATAATTAGAAAACCTGTTGTCTAGGTCAGTGAGAGAACATCAGTGCTAGGACTACCGTCAAAATATGACACCAAACTTAATCAAAACACATATTTCCTGTTCAGTCATTAAAAGCGACCTTCCATAAAGTTAAAATGGAAGCAGCAGAGATCGAGATATCCTGACTTTTAGTCTCTTCTATGAGTCAAGCTCCAACACTTGATCCTACACTTCCCAGAAGGCAACTTGGTAGTGTCTTCTGTTAGACCCTTCCTGCCTAGTAAAAACATGTTTCTTTCCAACTCCACAAACCAAATTGTAATGCTTGTACTTGTATTAAGAATCTTTAACTTTGTTGTCAATTTGTAGCTTCGAAGCCCAGTCAGCAGTAACCCAATACCTTCACCTGTTCACATATCACGTTTGCATCTGTTGTTTTTGTTATTGTTGTTGTTAAGACTCACTGTGAGGCCAGTCGTGGCCGGCGTAGACTCATGCTGTAGCTCCTCTTCCAGCTCTTCTTGCCCTGTCGGTTCCTGACTCCGTCCTCCTGGTCCATCATCTGCTCCAGCAGGGTCTGGTCATCAGCGTTGAGCGGAGCCACACTGATGTCTCGCACGGCCCTGAACTCACCACAGTTATTCAGGTGCTCGTTCTCCAACCGGAAGAAGTTCCACACAAAACGCCTGGAAAGGACAAACGCCTACTGTCAGTGGCCAATTTGACTTACTGTACTTCACACACTCATACTGATAACAATAGTCCACATCCTCATGTCAGCCAGTGGACATCACATACTGTATCAGGAGTCACAAATTATTTCTTGTAGGCTTCAGACACTTATCACACTGATCTGTCTAGCGCACACACACAGATGCCCTGCCCCACTTCTTTCTGTTTCTACCTGCCTGTATTGTGTGTCTCTCTCTATATATCTCTATATCCCTCTATCTCGCTCTCTCTGTCAAGAGCATGTGTAATTGTCAGTAGACAGTACAGGAGGGCAGAGTGATAGGAGGTAGTTCAATAGTTAATCGATCGTGAGGGATGCTTTGCTGAAGCAACAGCACAAAACCAGACAAATTACACTGTGGCAGGCTGCCAAAGTCTAGGTAATTAATGGGAAACAATGTGTACTGCTTATCTGTAAGACATTTGTGACAAGGCAAGCTGCCAATGTTTCCTGCTAGGGACAAATTGAAACAGCCAATGAGAGCAACTCAACTCGCAGTACGTCACCGCTGCTGACTGCAAAAAACAACTTGGTGACGGCCATAATGCCAAACTCAAGGCTACAAAACGGAACTCTTCATGGCGGGTGACGTCATGATAGTGACGATATGAAAAGTTCATGTCAATATTATCCTGGTCAAAACAATTGGGATATTATCACAATAATAATCAAAATATGCTTTAAGCTGCTAAAATGGCAGAAAAGGGAGAGAGACAGGGGATGATATGCAGCAAAGGGCCACAGGTTGGACCTGAACGCATGGCCGTTGCAGACATGATACATGGGGCGCCAACTTTTCCAGGTGAGCTAGCAGGGGGCCCGTTTGCAGTTTTTAAAAATGCAATATCTTTGAGGTTTTAATGGTTGATAGAGACAAAACAAGCTATTTGAGGACATTTTCTTGGCCTCCAATCCTAGTATGTTCTTTCTCATTTGAGTGTCGTTAATAGACAACATTTAATTATTTTACCTGATGGATTCTACTACTGCTGGGTACTACTGAACCTGCTGGGTGTGATGAGGTTACAAAAAATGTGCCCAAATCTTATTTAGTTTCTGTTTTCACTTTTGTTTACTCTATTATTCACTCTTGTCCCTCCCAGATCCAGGACTACAGCTGTGTTTAACAGAAGATATTTCCCACATTTATATCTCATTATCAAAACAAAACCTAAACAATGGCAGTAAAAACAAAAAGAAAGGAAATTATAAAGAAGAGAAAAGTTCGAGAACAGAGTGCCGGTATGCACCTAAAGACCTCCATTGGGGCCAGTATAGTCGCCAGTATGTCAGAGATGCCGTGCAACCCTGAGACTGTGCTGAGGGAGACGGTCAGAGTCCATGAAAATCGCAACAGCACATCCTCCACTATGGCACTGTAGTAATAGGCCTAGAAGGAGAGACAGAACAGGAAAAACACAACAGCTGTCAACACATCTTTACATGACAGTTTATATTCTCAGGGACTCACAATGAAAGGGTCAAACTAGTATATGAGCCATTCTCCTCCAGCCTCCTGCACGGAGGAATACCTTATGTGGGTAGACTATCTCCTCTCTCAGAAAGGTATTCTCTCCTGCGTTGCGGTCAAATAGGCCCCAGTCCATCTTCAGATCCCAGACCAGTGTGTAACATGAGCTGACCACCAAACAGCCGATATACAAGTAGAAAAAGATCTGAGTGTCAACATGGTTTTCGGCTGAGGAGGAAAGAGAGAGAGGTGGGTGTGAGGTTAGACAGCTGGTATGACAGCAGGCTTATGTTACGTCAATCAAATACCTTTGCGTATTTGTTTTCCAATAACTCAGACACCTTTATAGAGAGGCAAACTATGCGGAACATCCATCCCAAAGAAGACAAAGACACCTTTAACTTCTACATACAAGAGACTGATCACATAGTGTAATAATACAACATAAAATCAACTCTTTCTGCCCACCAACCTGCCAGTAACAAAAGGTTGATGGGCAGAAAGGTGGGTGGGGTGATGGGTTCTGATACACAAGTAAACGCTGCTTTATAGTAAATATACAGTGACCAAACAGAAGCACTGAAGCCTCACAGGAAAAGAGCCCTTTTCTTTGAGGAACCACAACATTGTTGTCAGTCTGTTGTGTCATTTCTCATTGTCTGGGATTAAGAACTTCAACTCAGCTATCATAAAGATTTGTTGACTGTAGATAGTGAGGAGTGGCAGTGAACACGTTTAAGGAGCTAGAAGAGGGACAAATTAAATTACAAGCACAGAACATAATATTATTGACAGAGTAAAGACTTTAAGGTTACAATCAATTTTTATATAAAAGCTGGTATTCAAATAATGACCAGCCTGAGTAAACAAGAACAACTAAGTTCCATGGCGTGCTGGATAAGAGATCTGTGATGTGTAGCTTTTAATATGAAATATCTGTGCAGTAAGTGATTAATTTAACTGAACAACCGAACTTGCTATCGCAGCCTCTGTGTGGTTTGTTTACATAGCTGGTCTGCTCCATGTGCAGCTGAGTAGAGCGACTGAAAATGTTTTTATCATCTATGTCTGTGAATTAAGGATTTATTTCAACCAAAGCAGAGTTTTGGATTGTTGGAACAGTGGAAAGACTAACAAAGACTGTTTTAAAACTATACATATACTATATACTAAAATAAATAAAAATAAAGGCTTGTCCCTAATAAAGGTGCATTTCATATAAAGTCCTGGTGCGCTATGTAATGTATACCTTTATGTGTGCTGTATAGGGCAGCGAAGGTGACAACAAAAAAGGAAGTGGAGTATTTCCCAGCATTAACCAGGTGAGGGAAGGCCCGTTTGGTGTCGCGGTAACGTCGCAGACACTGGATGAATCGGAACCAAGCTGGAAGACACTGGATCACTGCACGGACGCCGTAGGAGTAGGTGTTACACACATCTTTACCTGTAGAGAAGGACATACACACAATGAGGTGTTGGCCTCTCATCACTGGATCAGAGTCTTGGTGACATGAAGTTGCCTTTAATTGTTCAAGTCTCACCTGAACTGCTGATGAGTCCATCGTGTTTTTTCCAGTCCAGTTCAAAACTGTAGAAACAGATCATGTACTCCAGATCCATCAGAACCACCACCAGAGAGTTCAACTGGTCAGCCAGCCAGAAGTCTGCAAAGCCAACGCGATGAAACGGAGCTGTCACCACTCTAAACTTTGAAAGAAAGGGACAGAGCGGAGACTGTCAGGATCTTGAGCAATCATTAGTATGATCAGTCACTGTTCTCCATTCACTCATTCATTTAAGAGGGAGTCCATTTGTATTTGGTATTTAGTTTGGGCATTCAAACCTCTCTCAACAATCTCTTACTACTGCCTCTTTAAGTCATCATTCATACATAAGTAGAGATGAAACCATAAATCAATTATTTAATTCATTCATCAGAGTTGTTTAAGTAACTGGTTCTCAAACCATGTAATGGGAAATGCTTCTAGTGGTATCCATCAAGGAATCAATTTTAAAAATTAAATAAATACATTTAAAAACATATAATACTTAATACATATTACAACAAATAGTACTAACATAAGTTTTACCTTTTTCGTAATATTTAGTTTCAATATGTGCTAGTTGTGAACATGAATGTAGCGCACTCACATATGCCATTGATAGTTTTACGCAGGACTAAAAATGTGATGGAAGATAGTGAAAAAACTCTGTAATCATGGCTCCAAATGGGAACTATTGGGAAAAGAAGTGTGGACCGGGAGGACCCCTTTCCCACCAAACTAGCTCTGGTTCTTGAACCGGTTTCATTCAGGATTCAACAACAGTCAACAGTAATCTTCTTTTAGGAACAAACCTGCCTCCTGTGTAAACTGTCTATAGCTGAATAGGGTCGGCCTATGCTGCTGTATTTTAACCTCGGTCATAATGGTGGTACTTGAGGAGCCTGATATTTTCTGAGGTGCTACGTGGGGTAAAAGGTTTGACCTAATATTTTGAATGAATCAAATATAACTGATCCCAGCCCTTTGGTGTTGATACTTGCATAATCATACACTGAAACACCCTGCAGCCAGCACTCAAACTAAAAAGGGCAGAACATACATACTTACTGAGCGGGTGCTTTTATTTCTTTTATACTCAAGTCCAGTAACCTGTCACTGTGTGCTTTTACACCTTGAACCCTACCTCCTGATCGTACTTGTGACCCGTCTAAACAAGTGACCTAAACACCTTAAAGGTGACTGAATACATGCTCTAACACCAGTGACATACACAGTTCTCCAAGTTGTTTAAATCTATACTTTCAAGCTGCAATAAGGAACGTTTCTAAAAATAACTTCTTGTCATATTTGCTGATATTCAGACACTTGGGTTAGTCCCAAAGCGTCTGTATTTGACGCCCTGGGAATGAGACTCAACAATCAACTATCTTTAAGCCTCCAACCCAAAGCGTCTTTACATCTTTCTTGGCTCTGATTGGTTGTTTTTGTTCAGGCCCGGTGGATTCTTGCAAATACCATTAGGAGCACTAGGAGGAGCCAGAGGAACCTGATTTTCTTTTCACAGATCATCTGTCTCATGTACTACTGTCAGGATATAGTGAAAGTTTCAGCATAGAAAAACATATTTTTATAAAAGTTACCTACTGCATCTTAAATCTGCAA